CTTATGTATGGATCTTATTGCAGTATAAGAAATGATAATCTACACTTAAATTGATTGAACAACTTCACCGAGAAGTAGTTGTATCTTTAGGTTAAATAGAAACTAGATAAAAGTACTACATAATAAATTGAGGGCCACAGACATCTCCAACTGATTTTTCTCATTTGGAAGAAAACATAAACTTTATTTCTTTTAAAGTACAGACCTTCTCAATTAAAACAAATTTAAAAGTTCTCCTACAGCAAATGTTTAAACTGAAACCTAAAGGATAAGAAGTAGACAAAGGAGGTCACTTAGCCCACAATTTAAAAGGCAACTAGTGGCAGAAGCATAAATCCTCTGTCTAAGCTCAGGCCTATAATCCAAGCTCTTGGGGTGAGGCAGGAGGATCACTTGAAGCCAGGAGTTCGAGACCAGCCTAGGCAATGTAATTGAGGCCTCCCCCACAACCGTCTCTATAAAAATAAAAAAAAATTAGCCAAGCATGGTTGCATGCAGCTGTAGTCCTGGGTACTCTAGAGGCTAACTGGGAAGATTGCTTGAACCCTCAAAAATCTTGAGCTATTGAACTCAAGACTGCTTGAGCCCTTAAAGAGTTCAAATTTGCAGTAAGCTATGATCATGACACTGCAGTCCAGCCTGAGTGACAGAGACTATCTCAAAAAAAAAGAAAAAAAAATTCTCTGATGCTGAATGCCCATTTCTAAACAGGAAGGTGGGGGGAATTGATTTCCTCCCATACTTTTTCTTCCCAAAAAGGTTTCAATGAGCGAGTGCGGTGGCTCATACCCGTAATCCCAAGACTTTGGGAGGGCAAGGAGGATGGATCACAAGGTCAGGAGTTTGAGACCAGCCTGACCAACATGGTGAAACTGTCTCTACTAAAAATACAAAAATTAGCCAAGTGTGGTGGTACTCGCCTGTAATCCCAGCTACTCAAGGGACTGAGGCAGGAGAATCACCTGAACCCAGGAGGCGGAAGCTGTAGTGGGCTGAGATCCATTCTCAAAAAAAAAAAAATGTTTAAATGTCCTAAAATTACTTTTGCACCAACTAATACTATAGCCAAGCAACCACAACTTACTATGAGAGTAAAAGTTCTTGCCCTTGTCCACAGAATTCTATTATTAAAATAAACATTTCTTACTGTGACGCAAAAGGACTTACTTTTAGAAAACACATCTATCTTGCATAAATTCCATATGTTTCACATTTTAAAAGATTTATCTAAGTCTAATGTCAAGCTTATTTTTAGGCAGGATTGTGCTGCTGACTTTCCTGTTCAAAAGTAAAGTTGGAGCTGTTTCAAAGGGTAACTTTATTCTGCTTGCCTGTGGCTGTTTGTACCATAGAAAGCAAATTTGCCAGGTGCGGTGTCTCATGCCTGTAATCCTAGCACTTTGGGAGGCCAGGACAGGAGGATCACTTGAAGCCAGGAGTTTTGAGATCACCCAGGGCTACAAAACAAGACCCTGTCTCTACAAAAAATTAAAAAATTAGCCTGGCCGCTGGGCATGGTGGCTCATGCCTGTAATCTCAGCACTTTGGGAGGCCAAGGTTAATGGATCACCTAAGGTCAGGAGTTCAAGACCAGCTTGGCCAACATGGTGAAACCTCGTCTCTACTAAAAATTCAAAAATTAGCTGAGCGTGGTGGTGGGTGTTTATAGCCCAGCTACTTGGGAAGCTGAGGCAGGAGAACTGCTTGGACCCAGGAAGTGGAGGTTGCAGTGAGCTGAGACCATGCCATTTCACCCAGCCTGGGCAAAAAGAGTGAAACTCCATCTCAAAAAAAACAAAAAACAAAAAAAAAAACAAATTAGCCCCACATGTTAGCACACACCTAGTGCTTGGCTGCTTGGGAGGCTGTAGTGGGAGGCTCACCTGAGCCCAGGAATTCCAGGCTGCAGTGAGCTAACTGTGCCAGTGTACTCCAGCCTGGGTGACAGAGTGAGACCCAAGGGCAGCGGCAGATTAGAAAACTTGGCATTTCTTCTATACTGGCCCATCTTTGTCAAACATGTAGCCTACTTATGAAGAAGACAGTATTAGAATTGAAATCAGTATTAAAAAATTAATTAAAAGACCAACCTTATAAATCAGAAATTAAAAACACTGGGCCACAAACAAAAATATTATCTTGAAATTGCTTCTTTATAAACACATTTTCCAAAGAAGGAAACATAAAATGTTCAGCGAAAAGGTTCAGATACCAATTTAACAATGTGATCTATTTTCAATATACACAGGTAAATTTTTTTTTTTTTTTTTTTTTGAGACAGAGTTTTACTCTTGTGGCCCAGGCTAGAGTGCAATGGGGTGATCCTGGCTCACCTCACCGCAACCACTGCCTCCCTGGTTCAAGTGATTCTCCTGCCTCAGCTGCCCGAGTAGTTGGGATTACAGGCATGTGCCAACACACCCAGCTAATTTTGTATTTTTAGTAGAGACAGAGTTTCTCCATGTTGGTCAGGCTGGTCTCGAACTCCTGACCTCAGGTGATCTGCCCGCCTTGGCCTCCCAAAGTCCTGGGATTACAGGTATGAGCCCCCACATCCAGCCAGTTTTTTTCTTTAATGATCGTATAGAGATAATAGTACTATAATAAATAAGTTAAATATTAGAAATATCATAAACTAAACAAAGATAATTTCTGACCATCTATAACCTTTTTTTTTGTCTTAGGTCCAGGAACATCTATAACTTTTTCTAGTTGGCATTGTTTTATTGCCTAAGAGTACTTAATGGAAGCCTGCTGTTCCAAGTGAAACAATATTTCAAGGATAAGAAAAGGTGTGTACATTGAATTTCACTTAAAAGTTTTAATAATAAAAGTGATTCATAAAAGTTGACTAGGCTGGGCACAGTGGCTCACGCCTGTAATCCCAGCACTTTGGGAGGCTGAGGTGGGCAGATCCTTTGAGTCCAGGAGTTCTAGATCAGCTTGGGTAATGTGGTAAAACTGTCTCTATGAAGAATACAAAAAATTAGCCAGGTGTGCTGGTGCATGCCTGTGGTCCCAGCTATTTGAGAGGCTGAGGTGCAAGGATCACCTGAGCCTGGGATGAGGATGCTGCAGTGACTGAGCCAAGATTGTGCCACTGCACTTCACCTGGGTGACAGAGTGAAACCCTGTCTAAAAAGAGAAAAACCACAAAGTTGATTAATGATTTCTCTGACCTTTTATCAGCTTTAAAAATATCTAGGCGCCGGGCGCGGTGGCTCAAGCCTGTAATCCCAGCACTTTGGGAGGCCGAGGCGGGTGGATCACGAGGTCAAGAGATCGAGACCATCCTGGTCAACATGGTGAAACCCCGTCTCTACCAAAAATACAAAAAATTAGCTGGGCATGGTGGTGCGTGCCTGTAATCCCAGCTACTCAGGAGGCTGAGGCAGGAGAATTGCCTGAGCCCAGGAGGCAGAAGTTGCGGTGAGCCGAGATCGCGCCATTGCACTCCAGCCTGGGTAACAAGGGCGAAACTCCGTCTCAAAAAAAAAAAAAAAAAAAAAAAAAAATCTAGGCTGGGCGCAGTGGCTCACACCTGTAATCCCAGCACTTTGGGAGGCTATGGCAGGTGGATCACTTGAGGTCAGGAGTTCGAGACCAGCCTGACCAACATGGTGAAATTCTGTCTCTATTAAAATTAAAAAAACAAACAAACAACTAAGGGCTACTTATATAACCCAGTTTGTCAATGATTAGCTCTGTAATCTGAGGGCAAATACCTATCCTGAGATTTATCTCTGAGATAAATCACATAATTTGTAAGGTTACTTCCAACTCTAAAATTTCATGACTATTTGTATTTTACTAAATACACGCTACCTGATTTCTTTGCATTGTAGCTATCTAAATCAGGAAAGATGCATAGTAAATAAAATTCCTTAGTCCCACTGACAAGCAGAAAAGAAACACACACATACATATTTTAGGAATATATATTTTTAAAAGGATTCAATAATTTTTTTTTTTTTTTTTTTTTGACAGAGTTTCACTCTTGTTGCCCGGGCTGGAGTGCAGTGCAACCTCTGCCTCCCATTTTCTTTTTTTTTTTTTTTTGTCTGTCAATGTACATTTTCTATTTAAAAAGCCAAAACAAGCCGGGCGCGGTGGCTCAAGCCTGTAATCCCAGCACTTTGGGAGGCTGAGGCGGGTGGATCACGAGGTCGAGAGATCGAGACCATCCTGGTCAACATGGTGAAACCCCGTCTCTACTAAAAATACAAAAGACTAGCTGGGCGTGGTGGCGCGTGCCTGTAATCCCAGCTACTCAGGAGGCTGAGGCAGGAGAATTGCCTGAACCCAGGAGGCGGAGGTTGCAGTGAGCCGAGATCGTGCCATTGCACTCCAGACTGGGTAAGAAGAGCAAAACTCCGTCTTAAAAAAAAAAAAAAAAAAAAAAAAAAAAAAGCCAAAACAATGGGGTGAGAACAAGAAGCCACTACAGAAGTGGCCAAGAGTTCAGATTCTTGGGGGCCATCTTTGGAGACTTACTGGGCTCGCATTCTGGCAGCAGCACAGACTGCGTGGACACGGGGCACCCTTCCCACACCTGAGCTTTCACCTACACTCACCTGAGCTGTGGCGAGAACTGACGGGCACACGTGAAAGCAGTCGGCCTGCCCAGCACTTGTTAAAGGAGAGCTCTAAGGAACACAGCACACAGGCCTGAGGCAGCTTTTACCCATGCTTTTTTAACTTACATAATTTTTAATAATTGGCCTTGTCTGATTTAAAAAACTAAAAAACCTCAGCTGTTGCAGGTCAGGCCTGCCTGAACCCTGCTAACCAGGACTGGGGCCAGCCGGGGCAGCCCCTGAGCACCACCCAAACTGCACCTGAATATCATCAAGCACTCTCAGGCCCTGTGTTTCACACGGATCAGGTGGAGCCTGTGACCGCCTTCTGAGAGGAGGAAATAAAGGAATTTCTAGTAAATGAACGTGACGTGTCCAGCATTCTCTGTGTGGCTACAGTAACTGTCAACACTCACCCAGGAGGACTGTGTGGCAAGGTTTAATTGCAATGGCATCTGAAAAAGTGCGTGGCATCATGCGTCAGCTATTGTCAGTGCCTTTATTGCCACTGGGTTTGTGACTGTTGATACAGTGATGACCTCAGGAGCAACAGGTGGGTTAAAAAACTGTGGTTGGGCAGTTCTTTCGAGGACAGGGACCCCGTGAGGAGCAAGGAGGATTCAGAACCTGATGAACGTGGCATCGATCTGCCGCACAGGGGGGAGGGCGAGCATGACCTTTCTCCAGTACTGGGGGTCCTTCTGCAGGGGGTTCCGCTCCAGGTACACCGTCTCCAGGCTCCCTTCAGCTCGTCAAGGTCACTCCAGCTCTCAAGAAGATTGTCATTCATCCAGAATTCTTGCAGCTCTGTTAGATGGCTGATGTTTTCAATCTTTTTTTTTTTTTTTTTTTTTTTTTGAGACAGAGTTTCGCTCTTGTTGCCCAGGCTGGAGTGCAATGGCACGAACTTGGCTCACCGCAACCTCCGCCTCCTGGGTTCAGGCAATTCTCCTGCCTCAGCCTCCTGAGTAGCTGGGATTACAGGTACACGCCACCATGCCCAGCTAATTTTTAGTATTTTCAGTAGAGATGGGGTTTCACCATGTTGACCAGGATGGTCTCGATCTCTTGACCTCGTGATCCACCCGTCTCGGCCTCCCAAAGTGCTGGGATTACAGGCTTGAGCCACCGCGCCCAGCCTTTCAATCTTTTTTGATTCTATTTTATGCAATGTCCAACATGATGCGTTTGTTATTGTTCTCCAGGCCCTTGATGACCTCGATGCTGTTGTGGCTGAGGTACAGCTCCCGCAGGTTCACCAGGTTCTGCAGACCCTCGATCTTGGGTCAGCCGGTTGCTCTGCATACTGAGGACCGTAGGTTGGTGAGTGCATCCAGGTTCTGAAGTTTAGTAATTTTGTTTTTCCCCAAAAACAAACTCTCCAGATTGGTTAATGTATCAGTATTTTCGATTGCCTGGATGTGGTTAGATCCCAGCTCTAGCATCTGTAGTTGATGTAAGTTGCTTAAATTTTCAATTTTACTGATTTTATTGTTGACCAAGAGTTTTTGCAGTTGTGTCAACTTGTCAACACCTTCGATGTTTCTCCGAAGATTAAAAGAAATATCTAGAATCTCCAGCGCTGTTATTGCCTTCAGATTCTCAATCTTCTTGATCTGGTTGTTGTAAAGATCCAGCTCTCGAAGACTCTGTAGCTCCTCCAGATTCTCAATGCCTTTAATTAAATTTTGGCAGAGGCAGAGAGTCTTCACTTTCTTCAGTACCTCAAATCCTTCAATCTTCCCAATGCGGTAGTGATTCAAATCAACATCCTCTGCATCTCTGTCCAGGTTGATGGTTTCCATGTCCACAGGCAGCTCGTGTTCTTCTTCTGGGTCCTCCTCCCCATCCTTCAGGCTCTGTTCACTGAGGTCAGCCATGATGCCGCTGCTGTGCTTCTTCCCTTCTTCATCGCCAGATTCTTAGACTCGACCCGCCTGTCAACCTTTTTGATCTTGAGATGGGAGGAAACCCCTCCACCTCCCATTTGCAAGTGATTCTCTTGCCTCTTCCTCCCAAGCAGTTGGGATTACAGACATGCACCACCACACCCAGCTAATTTTTTGTTTATGAGAGCCAGGGTTTCACCATGTTGGTCAGGCTGGTCTTTAAACTCTTGACCTCTGGTGATCCATCTGCCTTGGCCTCCCAAAGTGCTGGATTATAGGTGTATGGCACCAGGCCCGGCTAAATAACCTTTTTAAAGCAAAATCAAAATTAGCCTGGCTAAATAGTCTTTTTAAAGCAAAATCAAAGTATGGCTACAGAAGGAGAGGAAAGATCTAAATTGTAGTCAACACAGATTGGTTAATTAAGGCCTTATATTTGTACCTGTGTCCATACCATATCACAGCACAAAAACATAACCCACCCCATCTGCCTCTCTGAAGGTACATAATACATCAGATTAATGCACATTCATTAAGTGGCATCATATCTGTATACTGGACATGGGTGTGAATTGAGGGTTTCCTTGGGTCTCTTTCAAGGACTCTCCTCTTCAGTATTTCTATTTCCTCATTTTCCTTCTATTTATGAAGAACTGTTACTTTTACATTTAATGCCCAATTTTCACCACTTGCTCATGTCAGTTCTCTGAAATGTTACTGCCTATGAACTGTGACATGTACTCTTTGTAACAGAAGCACAGGTTAAAAGATGTAGACATCACACAATTCAATGGTTATTTTAAAAATAGAAAACAATGGTAAAAATTCAGTTGCCAACTTAGAGGATTTTATACATTATGTTCTATTTTCCATGGTCTGAAATTATTTCTCAAGAAAATGGATTTTATTTCTAAACCTTTACTATCTTTGCCAGAAACAGAAAAACTAGTTTTCTCTTCAACAAAATTGTCCCAGGAGAAGAACACAAATACTTTTCCAAATTAGAGCATAAGTCTTCCTTAAATGTCCCAGTGTGACAATTAGGATAGAAGAGCAGTCTTTTAAATGTCATAAAGGCTATTGTTAAGATGGTGGTTTTGGCCGTTTTGCAGATGGTCCATCGAAGTTAGTTATGTTATCAATGTTATTTTCATCTTCTGCATCATCTTCATCGTCACCTTTTAAAATAAATATTTGTTGTATGACAATATGTTCTGTGGTTGAAAGAAATATATATAGCTAAAGTGGCTGAGAGTAAAACCATTTCACTTTAGGGACTAATAAAACCATACACATTTTAGATTAAAATGATTTTGAGAATTTCAGTGTTTAAAATGTTTATTTTCTATCACTTTCCTCTTTGGAGGTAAATTCATGCATCATAAAATCCACTATGATTTTGAGAATTTCAGTGTTCAAAATCTTTATTTTCTATCACTTTTCTTTTTGGAGATATCAGCTCATTCATCATAAAATCAACTCTCTCTCTCTTTTTTTTTTTTTTTTTTTTGAGACGGAGTTTCGCTCTTGTTACCCAGGCTGGAGTGCAATGGCGCGATCTCGGCTCACTGCAACCTCCGCCTCCTGGGTTCAGGCAATTCTACTGCCTCAGCCTCTTGAGTAGCTGGGATTACAGGCACGCACCACCATGCCCAGCTAATTTTTTTTTTTTGTATTTTTAGTAGAGATGGGGTTTCACCATGTTGACCATGATGGTCTCGATCTCTTGACCTCGTGATCCACCCGCCTCGGCCTTCCAAAGTGCTGGGATTACAGGCGTGAGCCACCGCGCCCGGCCTAAAATCCACTCTTTTAAAGTGTACAGCCTAGTGGTTTTTAGTATATTCACTAGGCTTGTGCAACCATCACCACTATCTAATTCTAGAATACTTTCATCACTCCAAAGATAAATGATATGCCCATGAGCAGTCACTTTCCATTCCCCTCAGCCTTTGGCAACCACTAACCTACCTTTTTTCCCCTTAATTTTTATTAGAGACAGGGTCTTGCTATGTTGCCCAGGCTAGACTCAAACTCCCAGGTTCAAGTGATCCTCCTGCCTCAGCCTCTAGAGTAGTTGGGACTGCAGGTGCCCACCACTGCACCTGATCTCTATGGATTTGCCCGTTCTGTACATTCATATAAACAAAATCATATAACATGTACCCTTTTGTGTCTGGCTTTCACTTAGCATAATGTTTTCAAGGTTCATTCATGTTGTAGCATATATAATACATCATTACATGTTATTGCTAGTAATATTCCATTGTAGAGATATACTACATTTTGTTAATGCACTCATCAGTTGATAGATATTTGCATTATTCCTGTTTTTTAAAATTATCATTATTTTTAGAGATGTGGCCTCACTTTGTCCTCCAGGCTGGAGTGCAGTGGAGCAATCAGCCCACTGCAGCTTTAAACTCTTGGGTGCACGTGGTCCTCCCACCTCCTAAAGGTGCAACGCCAAGCCCAGCCAACTGTTGTTTCCACATTTTAGCCACTATAAATAATGCTGCTATGAATATTCATGTGTAAATTTTTGGGTGAACATGTTTCCAGTTCTCTTGAGAGGGCTATCAGTGGAACTGCTGGGTCATGTGGTAACTTGAGGTCAACTTTTTGAGGAGCTACCGAACTCTATTTCCCAGTGGTTACACTATTTTACATTTCCACCAACAATGTACAATTTCTTCACATTCCAGCCAACACTTCTTGTTGTTCTTTTTGAGTATAGCCATATAATCAAGATGTAATTCCCAAGATGGAAGGAAAGTACAGTTTAAGCTTTTCTTAAAGAATTGTAAATCTTGACTCCAATATCTAGTTCTTGGGTTTTTCACTTCAGAACAGTTAGTTCTGAACCTGTCTAGTTTTGCATTCGAGATAATTTAAAAACATTAATGTAGTTAAACTTCATGTTTCTACTTTCAAACTGCACCTACAAAACTGGAATATAGCAAGACAGTCCCTGGGAGTCAATTTGTGTTAAAATTAAATCTGTCTCAATCTTTGGAACCTGTTCCTACGAAAGACTGCACTCTTCCAAACATATTTGTAGTTTCATACCTGGTAAAACTTTGTTTTCTTCAACACCCAGCTCAAAAGTCTTGTCCTCTCTGAAGCCTTCCTGGGGTCTCTGGGTTTGCAATAGTTACAGATGGCCATAGAATCACTTTCACGCTTAATAAGAGTGTCTGCCTGTCTAATCCCCTGTGTTTAACGAGGGCAGAAACTCAGTCACATTCACCTCATTCTTCCTCCAGGGCTCAGCTCAGGGTTTGGCACATGATAGTAGGCAATTGGCACTTCTTCCTTTTTGTGTGATATAAATCAAAAAGTGGTAAAAGTCGTGGAAATGCTTGAGTAGAAGCTGTCCAAATAATTATGTTGAAAATGCCAACAATTTTTATTTTTTAAATTTATTCTTAAAATAGTAATATAAATGGGGTCTCGATATGTTGCCCAGGCTTTTCTAGAACTCCTGACCTCAAGTGATCCTCCTTCCACGGCCTCTCAAAGTGTTAGGATTACAGGCTTACGCCAGCTGCCCCGACCCACCAAAAATTTTTAGATGCAATTCTTCTTTCCTCGAGGCTTACTTTGTCCAAGTCAGTCACTCTACACAGGCTCCCCAAGCCGATTTCCCCCGGGCGCCCGCCCCGCCCTCCTGTCGTTGCGGCACAGTCAGAGCTCACCGTCCAAGGCCTCGTCTGGAGCCGCCGCCACCCGGTGCTGCACTTCCCCCTGTACCAGGGGGCCGAATAATTCCGTTACCCGCTCCTTCATCTGGGCCACGCCAGACAATAGGCCCTGAAAAGGGTCGCCGCCACCCGGCGCCTCACAGGACACCCGCAACTTCTGCGGCTTCCCTTCCTGCCCGACGTACTCTCCCAGCAGCTCCATGGCGACCGCTAAGCTTCCAGAACGCGACAACGGAAAGCGCCACCCGGAGGCGGAAATCAGCCGCCGACCAGCGAAGGCGGGAGAAGGGAGGGGAGTGACTTCCGTTTGTCGGAAGTCGCTCCTCCCCCTTCCTTCGCTTTTTTTCTTTGTCATTGGTTTCTGGCGCTCGGGCCCCGCCTCCTCCGGCTACGCCCCTCACGGCCGCTTTTCCCGCCTCCGCCGGGGCCGAGCCGCTGTTCGGGTGACAGTTGAGGATGGCCGGAGCTGAGGGCGCCGCTGGGCGGCAGTCGGAGCTGGAGCCCGTCGTATCGTTGGTCGACGTCCTTGAGGAGGACGAGGAGCTGGAGAATGAGGCGTGCGCCGTCCTGGGCGGCAGCGACTCCGAGAAATGCTCCTACTCGCAGGTGGGCGTGCGGCCCGGGCCTCGTCTCCCCCGGCTCCCGCCGAGCCTCCCCTTCGCGGCTGGGCTGTCCCTATTCCCGCCTGCCGCAGTCGTGTCCTCAGTGGCGGTCCGGGGCCGCCGTTCGTCTGCCGCTTCCTCACCCCAAGCCCACTCTGCCCTTTTATCCGCAGCCTCCTGGGCCCCCTTCAGCCTGTGTCCAGCAGGGGCCCCTCTCTCCCCTGTCTCTAACTCCGCCCGGCCCGCCTGGTTGGGTCCTGGAGCCGCTGTCCCTCCCCTCCAGCTGCTTCTTGGTGCCCCACTGCTTCTCACGAAACCACCCCGTGACCTCTCAGGTCCAGACATCTTTGTCCTTGTTCTTCCCATCCTAATATTTATTTATTTATCAGGGAACTGAATGGGGAGAGTCAGGTTAAAGAGATTTTCACATCCATAGGGATTTGCGGTGAGCTCCTTGACAGCTTGTTCCTCTGCAATTTAGTTTGACAAGTGGTAGCTAGTACTTTTTCTTTCTTTCTTTTTTGGCAAAATGAAGCAAGTACCCATGTCTATTTGCAGTCTGTTCCCTCCCCTGGAAATAGACCGGAAACAGAACAGCAAGGGACTCTGGCAAGGGAGGGGAGAAAGGAGAAAAGGATCTGTTTGGCATTTGGAAGGCATTGTGAGTGAGCAAGTGTTTGAGGGGGTGTGACGTGGTGTTTAGTGACTCACCCTATACCTCGAGGTACAAAAATGGAAAAGGATGGGTAGGAAGAAAACTGACAAAGGATGAGTATTGGTAGGAAGAAGTGTTACCTAGGCAGAGGGGTGAACTGGAACACTGGAGAGATGAGGGGAGAGACTTGGCATTCATTATGTGATATGAACTGAGATCATAATACCTGTTGTCATGGTTGACCAGGTTTAGTTTAGACGGCAAAGTGTTGAATAAACCTGATATCCACACATAGCCCCAGGTATTTTAAAGCCTTTGCTCACCACTGAAACAATTTTCCCCCTGCTTTCCTTTAAAAAAAGGAAAAGAAAGTTCTAAATCTACATGTAAACTATTTTTGAAGTGTAGTTACCTTTATAAAATGGATTTCCTTAATATTTTCTTTTTATTGTGGTTTAAAAATATGGAAATTTGCACAAATCATGTACACAGCTTGAAAGGAAAGTGTGCATGTTCTCACCACCCAGTTCAATAACTAGAGCATTAGGAGTGCAAAAGGCTTATTGGAATAGAATTTTAAAAAAAGAAAAGAAATAGAATCTTACTGGCATCCCAGAAGCCTCCTTGTCTGTCTTCTTCCTTCCCTAGAGGAAGGTAACGTTGTTAAGATTTATGAAAGTTTTGCCTATTTTTCTTTAAGCTTTTTATTTTGAAGCTTTGTTTGTTTTTTAACATTGTTAAGATTTATGAAAGTTTTGCTTCTTTTTGAGACAGTTTTGCTCTCGTTGCCCAGGCTGGTGTGCAATGGCACGATCTCAGCTTACCACAGCCTCTGCCTCCTGAGTTCAAGCAATTCTTCTGCCTCAGCCTCCTGAGTAGCTGGGATTACAGGCATGCGCCACCATGCCTGGCTAGTTTTGTATTTTTAGTAGAGACAGGGTTTCTCCGTGTTGGTCAGGCTGGTCTTGAATTCCCAACCCCAGGTGATCTGCCCACCTGGGCCTCCCAAAGTACTTGGATTACAGGCCTGAGTGACCCCACCTGGCCTGAAGCATTTTTAATCTGCAGATAAATTGAGATAATAATATTATGAACACTTGTATACCTTTTATTCATATTCACTTTTTTTTTTTTTTTTGAGATAAAATTTCACTGTTGTCACCCAGGCTGGAGTACAATGGGGCAATCTTGGCTCACTGCAACCTCAACCTCCACCTCCCAGGGTTTAAATGATTCTCCTGTCTCAGCTTCCCGAGTAGCTGGGATTACAGGCGCCCACCACTATGACCAGCTAATTTTGTATTTTTAGTAGAGATGGGATTTCACCACGTTGACTAGACTGGTCTTAAACTCCTGACCTCAGGTGATTCCCCCCCCCACCCCGCCTCAGCCTCCCAAGGTGCTAGGATTATAGGCGTAAGCCACTGCACTCGGCATACATATTCACTTTTAACATTTTGTCATATTGTTTTAGCTCCTTTTCTATTTACAGTTTGTCGTTTTAAATTTTTGAACTATTTAAAAAGTTGCACACCTGATGGCACTGTACCTCTAAATACGTAAGCATGCATCTCCTGAAAATCAAAGGGATTCTTTGCATGTGTTGATTATCTCTTTGGTAGATTTACAAACATTTTCCAGGATGAAAGTATGATATTGTATAAACCTATACATATGCTCCTATGTTTTCACATGTTAAAATGATTAAACATTGATTTATTCACAGCTGGCGGATAAATTCAGACTTCCTATCACTTTAGGAAATGTTGGTTTGCATTGCGGCTAATGCTTGTAATCCCAGCACTTTGGAAGGCCAAGGCGGAGAATTGCTTGAGCCCAGGAGTTTGAGATCAGCCTGGGCAACATAGCAAGACCTCATCTCTGCAAAAAATAAATTAGAAAGAAAGAAAAAAGTGCTTGCATGAGAAAATCGCTAGCATAGATGTGAAATGTGCAACTGTGTTTTGGTTGATGCTCTGTTGTGTAAACTTCTTTGTCTTAATGGTTTTTACAGAATGATCTTGACCACAGATAATCTGATTTTAATTATTTTTCAGTTCCTAGTGTGAGTATTATGTAAACCATGCTATTACATTAATTCTCTTTTCCATTTTTGGTCTGTCTTTTAGGGCTCAGTAAAGAGACAAGCACTATATGCCTGTAGTACCTGCACCCCAGAGGGAGAAGAACCAGCAGGAATTTGTTTAGCTTGCAGTTACGAATGTCATGGAAGTCACAAACTATTTGAGCTATACACAAAAAGGTAAACATAGTCAGAGGTTGTTATTAAATACTTTCTAAATGTATGCATTCTTTTCCATCTACACTTTATTCCTAATCTTGTTTTTTCCTGCAAAGCAGTTGTACACTAGTGAAATTTAATATAATTATTTTATATAATATAATTGGAAAGAGTTGTTTCTAGAGCCTTTAAAAACATATGGTACAAACTCAAACTAACCATCTTTCTCTGCCATCGTTTTACTTGTGTGTGTTTGTATGTATGTGATATAAATATTTGCTTTTATTTGCTTTTGTGTATACTAATTTCCAGAATTGTAGTCTTATTATGTGCTTGAATGCTTGAAGAAATTTTAAATTGGATTTTGTAAGAAGAAAAATAAAATTGGCCTTTTCTCCTTTTTTCAGAAATTTTCGTTGTGATTGTGGAAACAGCAAGTTTAAAAATTTGGAATGCAAATTATTTCCTGTAAGTAAGCACTATAACTATAAATGTAGTTAGAGCAGGCGAGGTTGATATTTGCCAGAGTGGGAAAAAACAAATATCTGTATTTTCCAAAAAAGAAGTTCTTATTCTTTGCAGATGGGGATTTCATTTTTTACTAAGTTGGAAAAAACTATAAACTGCCGAGAGCCTACAAGATAGATGGTAGTTAATGTGAAAGGTCTAGGGGAGAGATATACTTGAAAGTAATTCAGGTTTAATTGTATTGGTTGTGCTTATGCTCTGAGGCTTTCGAAGCGAAGGATAGGACTTAAAAACAATAAATAGGCTGGGCCCAGTGGCTTACACCTGTAATCCCAGCACTTTGGGAGGCCGAGGCAGACAGATCACTTGAGGTCAGGAATTCAAAACCACCTTGGTTGTCATGGTGAAACCCCGTCTCTACTAAAAATACAAAAAATTAGCTGGGCATGCTGGTACGCGCCTGTTATCCCAGCTACTCCGGAGGCTGAGACAGGAGAATCGCTTGAACCCAGGAGGTGGAGCTTATGGGGAGCCAAGATCATGATACCGCACTCCAGCCTGGGCGACAGACCAAGACTCCACCTCAAAAATAAATAAATAAATAAATAAGGCTGGGGATGGTGTCTCACACCTGTAATCCTAACACTTTGGGAGGCCAAGGTGGGTGGATGGCTTAAACCCAGACCAGCCGAGGCAACATAGTGAGACCCCATCTCTATCAAAAAGAGAAAAGAAGTACTTTGAAATTCCAGGCCAATATCAGTTCACATAGGTTGATAATTATGATTAACTTTTATCTCCACTTTATTGAATATGTATATTTAATCTTTCCTAATTACTACAAAAAAGTACAAAAAAATTTTATTTCTTCCCTTCACCCTGAAAAAAGTATCCCTTTAGTAGTAGTGAGTTTTTTCTCCTTTGAAAATTAAAGATGAGCCTCTTGGGGAAATAATGTGAAAATGTATTGAATGCATAAATTTTATAATGTGTGAAATTATACTTAAAATTAGACCATATTATTATTGAAGTCAATATTATATTTCAGGACAAAGCAAAGGTAAATTCTGGCAATAAGTACAATGACAACTTTTTTGGATTGTACTGCATTTGCAAGAGACCTTATCCTGATCCTGAAGACGAGGTAAGAGAATTGGAGGTTAAAACCTGGGACTCAACCTCTTGTCATGTGCATGCTTCTGTCTGGCTCTTCGGGAGAGAGTGTGGGATGGTGAAAGGGTTCTAGATTTGTCTTTTCTTATGAATCTGGGTTGGATCCATAATCGGACCATAACTATTCATTTTT